GAATGAGTGGACAGGGAGAAAATAAAATATGATTATAAAAAATTATACCAGCAAAGATGCTAGAAGCACAGCACAGCAAATCCAAACAACATGACAGACTTTTTTTCTCTCTTCATAATTTGTGTTCCCCGTTAATAGTTCTGATGAGAGGGGACGAAACCGGTCAACTGGTGTGTGTTTTTGTTTTTATTTTAAATCTATCATGGCCTATAATATAAAATTTCTTGCTTTTTATGCCATAATACGTTTCTGTACTGTTTCAAACATTGAGCACTTTATCCCATAAATATATCACACCTTAAGAGTATATTTCTTCATATATATATATATATATATATATATATAGATAGATAGATAGATAGATAGATAGATATAGAGGTGGGGGAGAGATTAGAAAGAGGTGTACAGTTGTAATGCTGAGATAGATAGATAGGAACAGACTGAGATAGATAGATAGATAGATAGATAGATAGATAGATAGATAGAGAGAGAGAGAGAGAGAAATGGACAGTTGAAATGCTGAGATAGATAGATATATAGAGAGAGGGAGAAAGAGAGTAGAAAGAGGTGGAGTGTTGAAATGCTGAGATATATTGAAAGATAGATAGATAGATAGATAGATAGATAGATAGATAGATAGATAGAATGGTCAGTTGAAATGCTGAGATAGATAGATAGATAGATAGATAGATAGATAGATAGATAGATAGATAGATATGAATATGAAAACAAAAAATCCTCTTCTCCAAAGAACAAAAAGATATTGACAATTTTTATCACAAATTTGCGAAACTTTTAATTCTTACCTTTAAGACAAACATAAACAAATTTGTTTTTTTCAGTTTTCTTCAGATAACATGAGTTTTTTCCATTACAGTCATCGTAAGTGTATTGGTTAGAATAAATAAAAGAATTCTGCTCACATCTAATATAGGTTGGTACCTTGGCTGTTTTTATAAAACTCTCAGCTGAAGGAAAAGAAAAGAAAAAGAATAATAGTTAATTTTTATGATGAGACAAATGTAATCTTAAGTTTCCTCAATTGAAGCAAATATCTTCAGTGAATTATGTGGGTGTGGAATCTGTACTTGGGGAACACTCTATATAAATGCTTCCAGAATATGAGGCTAGATAATGAATGCATATATAATTCAATTATTACCATCTTTTTCTCTATTAGGATACATGCTTTCAGAATGTAATCGATTATGGCTCTCCACAGCCTCCTGTCTTTGAAACTCTCAGCCATAATTTCTCCTTTATTATCTCTATATATTTGTTCAAATTTGTCAAATGGTTTGCTTTCCTTGGTTTCTTTTATCTCTAAGGTGCCCTGTGAGTATTAAATTCCCCAAGTTTTCTTTCCACATTATGTGTGTCCAAAACTGTTTTTGATTTTGGGGAAAAATATAAAAACCCACTTCACTAAATCTTGGAAACTATACTTAGATGATTGATTCATTTTCTGGAAATCCTCATGAGGTGATAGTAACCAATTCCACACTCTACTGCAGAAATTACATCCAAAAACGAATTACCATTTTTAGATATACTCATTAAAAATAGAAACCACATGACCACAGATATCTACTACAAACCTACAGACACCCAACAATATCTTCATTTCATGAGCCATCACCCGAAAAGCTTCCTGACATCCATCCCCTATTCTCTAGCACGTAGGGTTTGTACTATAGTGATTGACAAACACCTCCGAAAAACCCGCATAGAAGAACTGCATAGAACTAGGCTACCCAACAACACTAATAAACAAAAGTTTTGAACGCGAAAACACAATTCCTTTAGACATACAACGAAATTCAATGTAACAAAACGTCAAGCAAACTCTATCATATGTCTCAACATACAACAGAAAAATCCAGAACTATTTACAGAAATTACAAATAATCTAGACCTACTTAACAAGAATGACAAAGTGAAAAATATGCTAAACACAACCAAAATAATTAAAAGTAAACGCCAATCTAAAAACTTGAAACACATCTTAAACTCATCCAAATTTAACCAACACACAACACATGGAGTCACAAAATGCAACAAAAAAGATGTGGGGTTTGTGATATCATTATCGAAGGAAACTCCTACACTTTTGAAAACCCCAAAACGACATTCATAATAAATATAAAATTTAAACTGCAACTCCAAAAATGTGAATTATGCACTCAAATATACAAAATGCAAGAAGTCATATATAGGTATCAACCAAGCATTAAACAACAAAAAACAAAAACAACATCAAATTACCAGACAACAGAAAACTCTTTGCATCATAACACATCTATAAATGTTATCAGAGTAAATTTAAAATATTGCGAATATACCAAACAGACAATTATTCTTAACTACAAGAAAAAAAAACTTCATAAATAAATTTAAACCAGCACTAAATAGATCATAACCCCCAGACAAAAACACACAATATACACGCATAATGGCCAAATACTGGGGTCGGCCCACTCACATACATACACTCATGTGCAGGTATCTACGGAGAACGAATATATATGCACACACATTGATAAAAACAATTAGACTACTCACAAGCACACACACGAACCCTCCACAACATAGCAAGTGCATGTATGTGTATATAGATATGTGTGTGTATTTGTGTGTCTGTATGTATATATGTGTGTGCGTGTGTGTGAGTGGGTGTATATATATATATATATATATGTGTGTGTGTGTGTGTGTGTGTGTGTGTGTGTATGTGTGTGTGTGGATACTAATTCCTTATAATAAGACAGTATGTATGCATGGAAAGGGAATATGCATACACATACTAGCAAAAACGCACACACAATACACAAAAATGGAAATAGACCTAAGAACATACAAGGGTCATTAAAAGATAAGAATACAGATATCTTTCCACACCCTTTCTCGAAACAATCTTAATTGTTTTATTACCCTTTAAGCAGAAGAACTTTCTTACCACCAGTCCAAGAAAGACATTTGTGTCACTACTACCCGAAAAAGCGAATGTTTAACATCGAAAACCATAAGGAAAATTAATTCATTTTAATAATATGTGGAAATATGGACTTATTGCCTGAAGGAGGTCGCAAGACCGGAAACACGTGAAGCAAAATTATATAAAATAAAATATAATATATATTTTTATAAAAATCCACATAACAACCAAAAACGTTTTCGGTTTCTCTCTACTTTTTAACACGACCTGCAGTTTAATACACAATAAAATCTTCAGGCGCTGAGTATGTACTGACCATTATGCAATTTGAATTATAATACATCTGTTTATACAATTTTGGCGTAGTTAGATATTCTGTTGCGATTAAAGTTTTTTAATCTAAAAAATTATATTTGGCTATTAGAATAAGCGGCATTTGTATATGTATGTATAAATTAATTTTTTAACTAAAGGGAGATAACTTGTTCTTATTTAAAAAACAAAAATTTATATTCAAAATAAATAGAAATTTACATTAAAAATAAACCGTAATTCAAATTAAAATTGAAAAATGGATCTGGACCAACATATTTAAAGATATTTTTTATACCTACTTGTAACCATCAATTCATTTCTCTTGTTTAATAAGCTGTCATTTACGTGTTTTAACTTATTTTTTAACAAGATATAAGTTACAATTATTCCCTTTTCCATTATAAGTAATAGCATTATAAGTAATAATTTCCCAGTTGACTGATAGTGGGATGCCATCATTCTTTAATTGCCAGAAATATTTGGAGAGGGCAGTACTGTTTTTATATTTTATATTACTTAAGGTCTTTTGATGTTGGTAAAAACGAAATTTCCAAGGATTTTGAGTGGAATCGGAATGTGTGCTCGCTTAGTATACAATATCATTGGTTATCCATTGACCCTTTAAGGGACAGATCATATTTTTTGACAGTTACATTTATTTATGGAAGAATATACATTGTCTTTCTTGGAAATATATGTGTTTAATGTAAAATTGTTATGATGAGAGATTGATGGATGTTATTAATGCAGCTATAGCTGATCTTAAGATTAGATTTGTTAAAAATATTTTTTCATGGTTAACCTGCTTATGAATTAAATTTAGGAGAATTCTTCTTATATTAGTTTCGACATTACGGTTAAAAGGTAGGTTAAACCATACAATGTTGCGTTTACAATTATTTATCTTATTTTTACCTTCTTTGTTTAATTCTAAATCCTCTAAATTTACTTTATCATTGCTTAGTTCTAAAGCCTTTTTATATTTAAATTTAATATCAAATATTTCCTTATTGCTGGACTTGAACTGATTTATGTAAATTTTGTGGTGGTGATTTGATTATTTACTTACATATCTATGGTTATACAGATCATTTGTATATGGATTATAATAACCATTAGTCAAGTCTGATGTTACACCGAGAAAGTGGTGGTGGTGGTGGTGGTGGTGGTAATATTTAGTTTATTACCTTGAAAACATTTTATCAGTTTGGAATGCACATGATTAATTAGCTTCTCAAACAAACTTCCCTGTTAAATAACTCAGATGTTCATACCAAAAATTGCTTTTCAATTTTGTCTTGAATTTCTTAGTTTCAAACATTTAATTGAAATCAGCATGAATATCCTTGTCAGGTTACGAACAGAGAAACCCTAAATTAACAGAAAAAATGCTGAATTTTATTAAATCGTACTTAATTTAATTTGAGTTCAAATTCTTTCGAAGCCATCTTTATAAATATTTTATGGGTTTAAACTGATATTTTTAAACCGAAATTTATTTCCACCAGACTCCAATTTGATTAACCACTCTCCCATATTTTCTACTTCTAGTATCTCTGCTCAGAGTCATCAAGTCTCTCAATACCTCAAGTTACTAATCACTTTCCATGCACTGGAAAATGAGTGAATGAGAAAATAAGAGGAAATGAGTGAACGAGAAAATAAGAGAAGAAAATAAGTGTAAGAGAAAATAAGAGAAGAATATGCATGAATGAGAAAATACCAGAAGAAAATGAGTGAATGAAAAAAATCAGAGAAGAAAATGAGTGAATGAGAAAATAAGAGAAGAAAATGAATGAGAGACAAAATAAGAGGTGAAAATGAGTGAAAGAGAAAATAAGTGAAGAAAATGCGTGAATGAGAAATTAAGCGAAGAAAATGAGTGAAAGAGAAAATAAGTGAAGAAAGCAAGTGAATGAGAAAATAAGAGAATCACTAAAAGAGAAAAAGGAGAAGAAAAATGAATGAGAAAACAAGTGAAGAAAATGAGTGAATAGGAGAAAAGAAAATAATTAAAAGAAAAATAAGAGAAAAACTTAACTGAAAGAGAAAATAAGAGAAGAAAAATGAGTGAAAGTCATAGAAGAAAATGTGCGAAAGAGAAAATAAGAGAAGAAAATAAGTAAAAGAGAAAAAAGAAAAGAAAATGAGTGAAAGAGAAAATCATGGAAGAAAATGAGTGAAAAAGAAATGAAGAAAAGAAAATGATTGAATGAAAAAATAAGAGAAAATGAATGAATGAATTAAAAAGAAGAAAATGAGGAAAGAAAATATAAGAGAAGAAAATGAGTTAAAGAAAAAGTAAGCAAAGAAAAATAAGCGAAACAAAAAAGAGAAGAAAAGAAAATATGCAAAAATGGAAATGAATGAAGGAAGTGAAAAAGAAAAGAAGAAAGAAAATAAGCGAAAGTGAAAACGAGGAATAAAATGTGTGAAAAAAAGAAGAAAATAAAAGAAAGTAAATGAAAGAGAAGAAAAAAAAGTGAAAGAGAAAATCAGAGATGAAAATGATCAAAGGGAAAATAAGTGAAAGAGAATAAGGAAATTAAGCGAAGAAAATAAGTGAACGAGAAAAGAAGAAAAGAAAATGGATGAAAAAGAAAATAAGAGAAGAAAATAAGTGAACGAGAAAAGAAGAAAAGAAAATGGATGAAAAAGAAAATAAGAGAAGAAAATAAGTGAACGAGAAAAGAAGAAAAGAAAATGGATGAAAAAGAAAATAAACGAAGAAAATAAGTGAAAGAGTAAATAAAAAAAAATGACCGAAAGAGAAAATAAAAGAAGAAAATTAAAAAAATGATCTGTATATTGCGTTACTGAAAACTGAAAATGAATTGCAATACAGTGTAACCCGGATATAAGAGAAACCCGGATATAAGAGAGATTTTATCTGGTCCCAAATTAGAGCTTGTGTTAATATATATAAAATAGACCAAACCCGGATATAAGAGAAACCCAGATATAAGAGACTTCGTCTCCGGTCCCGACAACTCTCTGGTTGAGGGATGTTGAAACAAATATGTAAGTAACATTTTTTTAGAGAAAATAGAAATCAAAAGGACACTTATACTTAACATAATGGAAGAGGCTGTTGAAATTAATAGAGCCCATAATGAGGAAAGAGGGCTTGGAAAATTTGACACTGACAAGATATTAAAATAAACAGTACATAGTCAAACAGTGCATACCGTACCTAACGAGCTTGCGTATATGGATGCTAGAACATTTTGCAAGACGACAAAAATGAAAAAGAGCTAAAAGGCCAGGTAATAATGGAGAACAATGATCGCTAATGTCCTGAAGGTAAAAAAGAAGAACGAATTTAATGAATTCTCCCGATCTGTGCAGTTCTTGATATTTTTCTTATCGCCTTTCAAGAAGCCTATCTTATACTTTTCAGCTTCCGATGCATTGGTAATTCTATATTTTTTCTGACCAAATCTTTGATTGTTTTGGAGTGAGTGCTTATAATTTTTCTACTTGCGAGAGTTCTTTTGTTATTTTTCATTCGTATTCGGTTAGTGTGACTAACATAGACATCTTTTTACTTGTGGAAATATCTTCCCGCTTCTTGCTTTGCTGTGAATAATGCTCTTCATAAATTTAAATCGTCATCTTCTGTCTATGTGAAATCTGTTCTTTTATTGTCCTTTCTCCTCATAACATTTTCTCAGTTTCCTTCATTCTCAGTAAACCCTTACAGCTTAGTGGCTTTATCGCCTTGCTTGGGATGAAATGAGTCTTTTAAAAAGATTCATTGGGGGAGATTCCAAAAGCTTAGAAAAGTACTAAGAAACAGAAAAAAAAAACTTTGGAGAAACAAAGAAAAAATTATACGTCGATCTTTTGCAAATATCTATACATTCAAAATTCTAGATGGCTAAAGCTACCTGGCAACTGATCTCACCTTTGACCTTAGCGCTAACAACAACTAACAACTCGATGGGGGAGAAACTGGCTGGTCAAATGCAATGAATAAAATACGAAATATGAAAAGATGTCGGTAAAAGAGAAAATGTGTGAAAAAGAATGAGATACTCACACGAATAGGCTTCCACAATCAAAAAGGCCAGTATTAGGTTGTATAAATTCATTGTGTTATTTCCAACTGACTTGTGAACATGTGAGAATTAAAATCTGAAATGATGTCAAATATCTGATGAGTGAACAATAAAACCGTTTTTGCTTTTTTGATACTGAGATTTAAACAAGATTCGTACTTAATCCTTCACATCCTTCCTTTTTTTTTACAAATGTAATAACACTGTGTGTAAAGAAACATTTTTTTTTGATGGGGTCACTGTTCTCTAAAAATATTTTTTATGGATAATCATTGTATTTCCTAAGTGCAATAAAGACTTTAATGTCGCAGACATGTTGACATCTGAATGTTATTACGTTTGTTAATATTTCCTTTTTTTTTTTTTTTGTCAACTCATTAATATACAAAATCATAAAGGACACATTTACAAATCTCTCATTTCCTGCCTACTTTATAAAACCTGAAATAAATATTAACCAAAATCCAGTTCTGTAGGAATAATCTCCCAGAATCACTGCGCTGAACTTAAAGTAGAAGGGTCAGGTTCAATCACTCATGTAGCAAGCATTCCTCAAAGAAAAAATTGCCAAGAAAATGGAATAATTTCTAGAACTGTTTAAATGTACGCATCGGATTTCCACTTGATTTTGTGTCATTCCCATTTGGGTGTAGACTCGTTTTTTCCTACCTATCACCCCTAGTAACAGAACAGTCTAGATCTTACGCCTACGTACGGAAAACTTCAACCACTAAAACCGTACTAGGCAAATCAACCAATTTCATTGGTTAATGACACAATAATCTGAAAGTTCACGTCCAAATCTCCATGAGCCAATATCGGACTTTCAGAACTTATAAAAGAAAACGCCGACTGACCCAAGCAGTCAGAAATGAACACCCACAGAGAAATTGCCAACATACTCCACGTCAATCGAAATCACGATTTTACCGCGCAAAGGTACATCAACGCTGACTCACTTGCAATTAAACTCAACCAGCTCTGTGGACATCAAATCGCAAACCTTGCTTATCGAAAGTGAATTATATTCACTACCTATTAAGTGAAAATCAACGTGCGAGCGATATAAAAAATAATACAGTCAAAGGTTGACATATACCAAATATCCTACTTGTATATTGTTTTGAATTGTATATAAATGTTTTATAGGTTTCAAAATTGAATATGTCTTGTTCTTAATCGTATTTGAAATTCGTTTATTTATTTGTTTGTGGATGCAGAAAGTCAAGCAACCTTCTGATTCTCTCAAGCAAGTATAATTAATAATTTCTGCACATCCCCAACATGGACATGAACATTTCACATCGAATGTATATTTCAGAATATCTTCTTAAAAAAAAATCAATAAATAAAAAATTCACTTCATAAAAATTAAAAAATGCGAATTGATTTATTTTAGGATTTCCTTTAACCATGATGTCAGAAGTTAGAGAGAAAATAAAAACAAATTGTCAAACAATGATACTTTTATAAATTTTGTGTCATTTGGGTTACCGTATGTGCGTGTGTTTGCCTATGTATATGCGGGTGTGTTACTGTGTATGTGTACGTGCATGTATGCCGTGAATGCTTGTGTGTGTGTGTGTGTGTGTGTGTGTGTGTGTGTGTGTGTGTGTATAATAAACCAGGAAGATTATTTTATTTAAATTTTCAAGATTCATAAAATAATTTGGTTTTTCTTCTGAAGAATAAAATAAACATTCTGACGATTAAACATTTTTGTCAGAGATTCAGACCGTTTTTCTCATGCTATGCTCTTTTTAGCAAAATTTTTGGAGGTACCTATGAAAAACTTAAGCTTATATCTTTTGAGTAAATTGTGCATTAAACATTAAGAATCTTTTGGCTGTAAGATAGTTTACTCGAAATAAGTTTGCGTGAGGTTCAAAGTTGCTTTTTGAATAAAATGTTTGTTTGGCAAACTGTATGTTTTTTGAGTAGAATTCTTGTTGTCTCGATACAAATCGTACATCTTAAACTTGAAGGGTAGTTTGTAAAATAAAAACAATGCCTTCATATTCTGGAAACCTTTTAAAAAAAATGATGACCAAGAATAAATAAAATCAATTATGAGTATGGTAACAAAGTTCTAAAATATTTATAGCAGCAAGGTTTTAAAATATTTAGATTATATTTGTTAACACTACAATTAAAGCAATATTTAAATCACGTAATTACAATCTTTATTAAGAATTTATATAAATTATGTTACCTCCCTTACTCAGAGATAAAAAGTTTTTGGAATTTTTACAACGTTCATGCTCACACATTTTCATGACTTACATTAATTCTTTATCTTAGAAATTTACCCCTGAAGATACTCTTGGATGAGATTGAAAGTACTTGTGAATATCAAGACCATATTGGATAATTATGGCTTTTTTCTTGATCAGTTTTGTAGAGACACTAAGAAATTGATTTGTGAACTTGGGATTAAATAAAAATAAAAAGTCATAATATGTCTAAAGATTATTCAAAGAAAATGTTTGAATATATATATATATATATATATATATATATATATATATATATATATATATATATATATATATATATCCTACCGCTTTTAGAAAAATTTGCCAGAACTGCGGAAGAAAAATTATACAATGACCAAAATTGAAATGGAGACAATTCAAATTTGAACTTTTGAAACCTGTGACGGATTTGAAATTATTTCTATGACAGCAGCGGAATGTAAAAAAGTCAATGACATGTCGGAATAGACATTATAAAAAATTGGATACGTCGAAATTAATCAATAGTATAAAAACAGAAAACTTAAAAAAACTGGAGTGTTAAAGGGTATAAAACGAGCATACAATTAAAAGAAAATTGTACCCACCTCCTATTTTGAATCCTCTAAATTACCTATTCACCTTCTACTTTTTAGTAGTTGCTAAAGTAAAAGAAAATGGTAGAGGTGGGTAAATTTTGAAACTTCTCCATTGTAGTTTTGTGACTCTCCGATGGAAACTTAAGAATATATGATGATTTCAAAATAGGTGTAAATCATAAAATATGCTCGGATTCGTTTCCTTTTTCCAATATCGAAACCGCTGTCCACAAATTATCGGGCCTTAAATATTGTGTAAAAATTGATTTAAAATCTATCTACAGTCAAATGCAGACTGATAATCAATTCAATGAAATCTCCACATAGGATTATTAAGATGGACGAGAATAATAAATAAGATCATCGATACAGTTCACTATGGAGAGTGAAAACAACAACAAACTCGCCTTCCTGGATGTAAACTAATATCTCGACCAGAGCATGGGTTCAAGACATCCGTATACCACAAAGTTACATTCATCGGACAATATCTCAACTTCAACTCACCCATCCATACATTATAAAAAAAACTATCGTCCGCTGCTTACATCGAGCAAAATCATGTGGCAACCCAAAGACATATGAACAAGAAATTGTCAGTATAAGCAGTACCCCACACAATGGTACCTCTGTCTTTTTTCGCGAAAATAGATAGCATGACAAGCACGGTCTGAAAATTAACGGAAAAAAATTTTTTTCATGATAAAAGTATATTTCATTATTGAGAAGAAACACTAAAGTAATTTTTGAGTAATTTTTGAATTTTTTTACTCATTCTTAGCATGTCCGAAATTTTAGTTAAAAAACTTGTTTTCAAAATAACGAACAAAAGCTCGATATCAGCCATATTTTTTTGTTTTTTTAAAAATAAGTTAAAAATTCTTCGTTTAAAAAAAAATTAATTATACGTATTTCAAAATTTATTCGAAGAAATTTAGAAAATTTGAAGTTTATTTAAAATATTTTGAAAGAAACTTTTACTTACTTTCTTCGTAGAAAAAAGTTTTTTAAGATAAAAGAGTCGGTCTTACCGTCGCCTTCGATTGACTGTGTGATGGCGTCTATGAATTATTAACAGCTGACGTGAGATTCGAGTTCTCATACGGAAGGACAGAATGGACATATCGTTTTTTTTTAAGCGGACCTACTTAAGTAGTACTTTGTACTATTTAAAGTAAAAAACTTTCGCCATTACAAATTTTTTTTTAAAGTACTGTACCATAAGTTTGTTGATGGTATCTGGAGAAATTATAAATACTATTAAAAAAAATTAAGATACAAGTGCTGCACTGCTGTTTGAGGGCCCATATAGACCCCTCTAATGTCAATTCAGATTTGCTATTATAAAAACATTTCCATCTCCAGTAAAAATAATCAAACATAGTAAAAGTCATTTTGTCACAGCCTATATTCTCGGAAAAAATAAATAAATGGATTTTTATATTTTTAGGTTATATATATATAAAAATGACTTATCTGGAAAAATATCAGGGAAAGTTTATCTGAATCCCATGAAACTAGGTATTTTCTGAAAGCAAACAATATGTTTCATTTAAAAGTAAAATTGGCCAGTGTAAATGACTGAAATATTTTTAGTTTTCTAGAGGCAAAATGTGAATCTTACTTATTATAAAACCCAGGTTGTGTGTGTTACGTTTATATATTGGATGGGATTTCATACATTTTTCAACCGATTTCAACCAAACATTACAGGACTACGTAAAATTACCCTGCGGTAGTTGTGATAGCGCCAAGAATTGGAAAAACAATTGTTTTTACACGAAATCAATTTGAAAACACGATTAAGACGCATCACTGTCAAGAATGAAAGTGGGGGTAACTCATATCGAGTTATACTTATTATAAAGCCCAGGTTGTTTGTGTGTGTGTGTTCGTTTATATATGGGATCGGATTTCCTACATTTTTCAACCGCTTTTTCTTTATTTTTACATTCAGAATGCTTTCAAAATTCCATTTACAAGACAATTGTTTATAATAAAATTCAATTCAATCGGTAGACTCATAACGATTGAAAACAATGTTTTTGTTTGAGTTTGGGTTTGACCAATTCGTAAAAAAAAAAACTAATTAAGACATGCGTGTCCGTCAACCTTAAACAATAATCTTTGTCAATTTAATTTTCCAGTCTTCATGATGGTCGATACTTGATCTATCTCTTACTGTTACATCCCCGGGAAACGCCGGGCTGTACTGCTAGTAAATTATAAATGGAAATTTTCCCATTTCACGCATAAAATTGAGAATTTGCTTGAGAACTTCTATGATGGGCTTAATGTTGCTGACAAATGGGAATTTTCACCTAATATTGTGTTGGATTTTCCTATGACAAAAACAAGCAGTTTAATCAGCTTTGGCTGAGGGAGATAAAATTTTACAAGAAATGTACATGAAATTATACTAATTTTAAGTATACTTGTGAAATTTCATGGTCTTTTTATGCTCAATTTATTAAATTTTAAAAATATCTCATAAAGAAATGTCATGGCTAACATAATACAAAAATAATACTGTATAAATTTCATTGAATAGGTAGCTGATAAATGTAGGTAGCCTCATTTAAAATCTTATACATTTTGTTGATTTTTATCACATATTTTTATATTTAGCTATGACTGTATTAAAAATTATTTTTTATGCAATCATTTACCCTCTTGATTTATTCAGTTAAGTAACATTTCGAAATTGAAGAAAGATGCAATGCATGTTATCAGACTTTCGTGAAAATTTGGTGGCCCTGAAAAGGGCCGTTTTTTTCTTCTATTTTTCCCATAGCTGGGACCCTAACAGGTACTTCCTCCTCAAGTTAAAGTGGTCCTGGGAACAACACCAATTAAGATGTTATTCCATACTCCTCAATCAGTTTCATGTAGTTTTCCTATCCGGGGAAGTCACTATATGTGATGTCCAAATCATTCATAATGAAATCAGTGGCCATATCACACTTATGTAAATCATAGTCTTCACTTTCGCTTTCGTAGAAAATATTGTAAAATGGATCAGAATTGTTATTAACTGACCCAACAAATAATTGGTCAACAGAATTGACATTCCAAATGTGGGTAATTCGTTGACCAGTTACTTTGCCGTGTAGTATATTGAAAATTTTTGAAACAGTCAAATTCCAAAGAAGGAAATTGCTCTCTTTTTTGTCCTGTAGCAATCTTTTTTCTTTTATTCTCTTTTTCATTTCAATTTCTACCAGTTTTTGTTTACACTTCCGTTCGACACACATGTGGCTACTGTATGGTATTGCCAAATTGCAATATTTATGAAATTCAGCATCACTTAGGTTGTTCAAAAATGCCCAAACATTGTTTCTTTTTTATTTAATTAAGTGACTAATGCTGGATACATAAGCATTTGGAGAAATCCTTTTTTTTTTTCACAATACTCACCAATAACGCTTTCAATTTCCATAGTATGCTGTCGAACGGAAGTTAACACAGTTTCCACTGAATTTTCCACAGTAGAGAAAGACTTACTATATTGTCTTTCTAAAACGTCAATGATTCCTTTTACGGATGCAAAAAACATTTTTTTAAAGATCGAAAAATTATTTGAGGCAACCAGGAAAATATTCTTTTCTTTTTCTGGTAACAAGTTACCAAAAAAGTCTTTTTCAACTTGGGAAAAATCACAAAATTCTCCAAAATTTTTCAAGTTTTGAATGACACTTTTCACAACAGTTATAGTGTTTACTGGATTTTGAGTTGCACTCAGGTCAGTGTAAAATGTTTTCATCCATGGGCCTGAAAACAATTTTCCCACTAACCCAAGCACTTGCAGTTCTATAACTGCTGCTTCATTAATAAAAAGCAATTTAAGCTTTTTAACCACTTTATTAGTGGGTTTTAAAATGGATACATATTTTTTTAAATTTGAAAAAATTGAGAAATACACTCCTCCTAGCTTAAAAATGACATAGAGCCTGTGTCCAAAGAATCTGGGAACCTCACATAATGGCAAACCTTGTTCCTCAATAAAATCTTTGATCTGTGTAACATGGCGATATTTGTTACTGTACCGTAATGAATTCATGGCCATAATAATATGCCACGCTACACAGTCATCCGAAAATTTATTATGTTCACACGCATGCAGTTCCTTCTTAATGCGAGAAGAAACTGCTTCAAGCGGGTGAACATTACAGTTCAATTCTATCAAACTTTTGTTCCAGTCTTTTTCAAGTAAAAAAAGAGTCAAGTGGTTGACTGGTGCCCGGTCAGTCAAGCAGCACTTAATATTTGAAACTATTTTTCTAAAAGTAAGATCGAAACTCACACCAGAAACTTTCGAATGCAAATCAGAAAGTTGTCTAACACTCTGCAAAATATGTTGCCGATAATCCTCTGCAGTTCCACCAGCCAAATTTTCAATTGACACAAGATGGGATGAAGATTGTGTTGTTATCATAACACAATTCACAGGAACCCCATCTTGTGTTGTTGCATCGAAAATTAGTGTACAATTGTCGGATGCAAGAATAGAATTACCAGTTTTTACATCCGAAAAAAAACCCAGCTCACCTAACATACGGCCAACTGTTGTTTCTGATTTTATAGGAAACTTTGGTTCCTGTATATAGTTTACTAATTTTGTCAAAAGTCCAGGAACATTTCTTGCTGCCACTCCACTTAACAAACAGGAGTAGTGAATTTTCCTGGATGTCAATTGTGTGGACTTATTTGTTGTTTTTTTTGACTTTTTTGAACTTTTTAAAAATTGATTGCAGTTTCTGCAATTTTTGTTTTAAATGGAAAATCATTTTTTTTTTTTTTTGCTTTAACACTTTTGTTTTTAATTTCTTATTTTGTTTCCTCAGGAAAGAGGTCTCCACTGGGATTGCTGGGGTCTCCATTGGGGTCTCCACTGGGATTGCTGGGGTCTCTGATTCTACCAATTCCTCACAGAGTTTTGTAAATTTAATAAATTTTTTCCAGTGTGTCTGGATTTATATATCTGCTGCAGTTTCAATACAGTGGTATATGACACTGCAAGAAAACCATTTTTGGCATTCTCGCAAGATGCCCATGACTGTATGGCCCTCACTGTCAAACTGTCGAAAAAATTTTTTAAAATATGGCCGCAGAGAACTGGCTGTCCAGATTCCACAGAATCATAACCAAGCAAAGCTTGTGCAGTTTTGTTCATCTGGAAATATCAAACAACAAAAAAAATGAGCAAATTAATTCACAATTAAAATATATTTAATGGAGATATTAAATAAAGAAACAATGTCAGCATTGATTTTCAATTCAAGATAATGTATTCTTAATTGAAACAACAACTAATAACGAGCAAATTATTACTAACAAAGCAATGTAAATATTTATTGAAACAAAACAATAAAAAGAAGGAAATGTATAACTAAATACAAAAAGTCAAAAACATTGAAATAGGTAAAAGAAACCCTTTAAAACAAATGGTACTTACTTTGAAGAAAGAATTACAGAAAAAATTCAATAGGACACAAATATGGCAGAGGTTGGTGGCAGGCAGAGTATATTTAAGTTGTTATATCTTAAAAAAAAGAGAAAAAAAGTAACTGAATTAAAAACACACTAAAAACAAAGTCACAAATTCCACAAATATCATGAAATAAATTCAAAATAAGTATAAAAAATAAGAAACAAAATCTATTGTACTTACTTTGTATAATTTCAGTATTAAAATGAAAAGCCTGGTAATGGAAAAAATACAATGAAATAAGAAGAAAGAGTATTTGAATAATATAAATTCACAAAATTGAAAAATTGCATTGAAATAGATAAAATGAATTGGTACTTACTTTTCAAAAGTTGGTGTAGCTGCGGGCACTTCGTCGTCTTGTTCAATTTTTTAACTTAATAAAAATGATAAAGAAAATGATGCACACGTGTTTCAGCAGGAACAGTTTGCTAAATTAAGGGGCCATATACAGCGAAGAACAACCTTTAAATACTAAACAGAAACTCAATCCACGTGACGTTATTTTTATTGCACGGACCAAACTTCCGGTCTTCCGTAGATTTCATTGGTAAACACATTATTGACACAAATTAATTTCTTTAATATACGAGGGCTCGTTAGTTTGTAATAAGCTTTGGAAATTATAATCTGTAAATATATATCTACTTAAAAACAACATTCGTTAAATTCTACAAGCTTTTCCATAATTTTAGAAGTATTAACAACATAATGTAAAAATAAAAATAATGGTTGCAGAAATAAAAAATAATTGTAGGTAATTCTTTTAAAAATTCATTTTTCATCGAAATATCTTTTTGCTTTCAGACAATATTGTCCATGTTTATTGGAATAAATAAAAGCAATTAAAAGCTTTTGAAATTAAATAATATTTTTGTTTTATTGAGTTTTGTATGTTACACTTCAGAGACGATTTTCAGGTAGAGGGGTTCCAACTAAAAAAAAACAAAAACATGATTTTGTTTCCTCAAAGCATTGTGCTTTTAACTAATATAATCACTAAACTCCTCAAAATTGAAATTATAGAGTTTTCATACAATTAGTTAGAGGGGGTATTTACCAAATTAATGTGTGTCAAACAGGAAAAAAACGCATTAAAATTTTTATGTTATTTTATCAGCCCAGTTGATAAAAAGAGAAACAAGGTTTTTTAATCAAAATTTACAATGTTCTAAAAAAGAAGGAAAAATTTTAAAAAATAAGTAAAAAATACTTTGATCTTTCCTCTCAATAACAACATAAGCATTTAGACGCTAAAATTTTGTTTTCATCAACTTTGGCGTCTTTTTCATCATGCTATGCTCTGTTTTTAGCGATCTCACGGAGTTAGGGCACAACTACACTAGATATATGATAGCAGCAGAGGGGCGATAGAAGGGTTCGAGGGTATAACAACACTCAGAAAACAGCTTCAGTCTGCCTACCCTATGTGAAGGGATTATCGGAGAAAATTCAGAAAATATGTGGTTCATATAGCATCAAGATAACTTTCAAAAGTGGTTAACACTTTGCAGACACCTGGAGAACATGACTAAGGACTGTATGTACACCATCCCGTGCAGCTGTGATAAGAAACATAAAGGAGAAACAGGTCGTCCCCTTAAGGTAAGATTGCAAGAACATCGTAAAACGGTAACACGAGGGGAAATAGAAAATTCTGGAATAGCTGACCGCATAGGGAAGGAAAAGGGAGATCACAGACTCCTGTGACTGAGGTTGAAATAATAGACAGAGAATATCACTGGAAAATACAAAAACTTAAGGAATTAGCACATATGCTAGGCCCCGAAAATCTCTTGAGCAGACCAAGCATAGAAATGAATACAATATGGGAACCAGTAATATGGAGTGCTAGGGAAAATCAATGAATAAGAACACAAAAATTGCAATATGAGCGCTGGTAAAAAAAATAAAAATAAAAAAAAGTGGTTGCTGGGGTATCAGGTTTATAAGACCCAGAAATTCATACATAGATTTTCTGAAGGATACAATGGCTCAGTTGGTTAGATCCAGTGACTAGACATAAAGAATTGTGAGTTCAATACTAGGCTACAGCAGTGGTAAAGGGAAAAAAAAACTGAGACATCCGGAAGAGGCATGGTACGTGGAACAATCTACCACGGAAGTAAAGGCTGAAGAACTGCCGAAACTTTGTAAATATGGCAATGAAGATGAGGATAACAGTTCGAGTAATGTAAATAATGTAAGTTGAAACACCTTATAAAGAAAAAAGGAATAAATTAATGATGGTGTTATATGCAATGGAGATTCGATATTACCACCAGAAACAGTAAGAAATGATAATTTATAAAGTGTACATGTCCAAATATATATCATATATATATATATATATATATATATATATATATATATATATATAATTATTTATTAAAATATGATTCCAAAACGCTATGTAGCGTTTTTTTGAATCATATTTTTAAATAAATAATTATATTTATGTTCTACTTTTGTATCGAGCACTATTTTTACTAAGGGACTTTGGATTATTTACCTAACCAGTTCCTTCCTATTTTCTATATTTTCACACACACACACACACACACACACACACACACACACACACACACACACACATATATATATATATATATATATATATATATATATATATATATGCATATAAATATATATATATATATATATATATATATATATATATTTTAAAAAAAAACAGACCACTTTAAGGTACCATTACAACAATTTATTTCATTTATTTCACCAGAGTCCCTTTAAATGGACGCCGGATCATCAGATAGCACTTCCAACAACGAAATGAAACGAAAATGAGATTAAAATTGATGGGTAGTGTAAGTTTTGTAATTTAACACAGGGTGTGAGAGGGATAGGTAAAGAGACATGGTAGAGTATAGGGAGGGTTAATTTCATATCTCTCAAGTGTACTTTATATTGGGGTAGGAGGAGGACCAGACCTTGACCTATTTAGATGGTTAACTTAACGGAAATGATATATAGAAATGGGAGGGGAGTAGGAAGAAAAGAAAAAGGAAAAATGAAAAAGAAAGAGAAGACAGAAAACAGTAATACAGGTATATACAAATGAGTGTTACAGCAAGGACAGAGAGGGAGAGGGAAGTCAATCGAAAGAGGCTGTAATTGGGATTTAACAAATTTATGTAATGGATAGATTACAATGCTTCATAGAAATTTAGATGTCTAAAAAAATTTGATGATTGCTATCAGTTTAAATAATTAATTTCACAAGCCAATAGTTTAGGGACTTAATATAAGTTAACTACTATTTTTATTAACCCATTTATAGATAACATATTAAAGAAATATTTTAAATCATAATAGTTTATTTACCCGACCAATCGCACTTCCTTAATATTGTAAAAAAGAAAAAAAATTACGGTAGCATCTATATTAGTTTTACTTTTAATTCTAATTATGGAATAATATTTGAGGTTAATATTAAAGATTTTGCTTTATACATCACAAACATATTCATGCAAATCCATTATATATACATACGTTTATTTACATGCGCAAATACATACATAGACACACGTGTAACAATATACACAAATGTTCATCTATATTCATACATAAACTATTTATACATACGTTAATAAATAATTACCTATATTTTGATATTTGAAATTTATCTAGATTTTTGTTTTATTTCATAGTTAAAGTTTAACGTTAGGTGACTTCTGAAATGCTTAATTATTAAAAAAAAATTTTGTCAATATTTTACTATTAATATTAATAGGTAAAGAGTGGTATATTTAAATTTAAGTTAAGTTATCAATTTAAAATAAAAATACCTCCAGAAGATAAATTTACACTCTCATAATTCTAATTATAGAACATTAAAGGAGAAAATGATATTAAATATTATAAAGAGTAATTTTAAAACACCATTAGAATGACCCATGTTCTTCCACTTGAATCCAATTCCATACACATACACACACACATATATATATATACATATATACACACACACATATATATATATACCCATATACATACACACGCATATATACATACATATACACATATAACCATATATATACATATATACACATCTACATACACCTACATATATACACACACGATTATATACATAAACAAGCATATGAAAAGAACTCTACCCATAACCATACATACATGCATATGTATTTATATTACTATGTTATACATATATTCACACATATTACAAATATTCATTCTATACTATTTACATCTATATACATATACAGATTACATGCAATTTTATATTAAAAGTGTAATATATATATATATATATGCATATACATCTATACATACATATATATATACATTCATATATATACATACATACACGCATACATACATGCAAAATACACATATGCATATATATACAACGATACCTAGCACAAAAAACTACGCTAGTACCTATACATACCATATACAATATATATTCATATTCATACATATGCATATATATACATATATACATACATACCCCCTACATATGTGCCTACAATTCATACAAACACATATATTCATATAAGCACCCTTATCCTAAATGCCCATACATATATATATATATATATATATAAATTCACATATAAATGTCTAATTTCATCTACTTTTTAGAGTACATACGAACAAGTACAGCATCCATGTGTTCATACATTCATTTCAAAAACAAAATTAATATTTTCCCTTTTTATAAAGTTATTTCTAAATATATTTAGTTAAATTGAGGTGGCTTTTATGTCTACATTTAAAAACCAACTCGTTATGTTTGTTCAGTAATATGTCCGCATCTTTATGCCTTATTATTAAGATTTTCTCTTTTATACACAAATTACATCGGTCGATGAAATGAGTGGAAAAGGGAGAAAGATAGAAAGAAAAAGAGATAGAAAGACGAAAGAAAGAGAGGAGAGAGACAGAGAAAAGATAAATGGAAGAGGGAGAAAAAAGAGAGTCAAATCTTCAGCTTTTGGTTTTGTCAGTTGGTCTGTCGGGAAACATGAGATATTCAGGTCAGTCTACTGATGTCTTTGCGAATTTAACTTATTTATTATGCATACACACGCGTAAACACACACGCGCGAACTAACATTCACGGACACACATGCACGGACACATACACAGACACACGCACACACACGTGTATACATAGCCAAACACACGCACATACGGTAACCAGATTTTCACTTTTATACACAAATTACATCGGTCTCTGAATAAACTTCAGAGGTCGAGAGCTAGAACTCCAATAAACTTCAGAAAAAAAAAAAGAATTTAAAAGAAAGGCTAAAGAATGAAAGCGGTGAAAATTTGAAGAGAAAAATAACAAAAATAAAATGGCTGACAGAGAGAGAGAGAGAGAGAGAGAGAGAGAGAGAGAGATACACAAACAGAGACAGACAGACAGACAGTGATAAAATATCCGGGCAAAAGAGTTTTGATCACAAATTCATGTCTAGGAATATTTTTTTCTATTTTCAAATGGTATCAGAATTTATTGCATTATTTCACTTCAGCATCACTGATGATTCACATTGGTTTTTGGCCAAATTGAATTGACATCATTCTCTCCACAAACAATGATATTTAAAGTGAATTATTGGGACATTATCATTGGTGAAAGAAGTGGAAGAGTTTAGCAAGGTCTCCGATACTTTTGTTGCTTGGAAGGAGGTGGTGAGGTGAGGACGGATTAAGGCAAGTCCTCCTCCCCAGCAGAATGTCCCACAACAACCCCAAGAAAGGCCAGATCAGGAGAAGCAGCAGCATCAACCACAGCCTCAGGCGGAAAAGCAACAAAAAGAGCAGCAACAACAACAGGAACTGCAGCAACAACAAGAACAAAAGCAATGTCAACAGCAAAACAACAGCAAAAGCAGCAACAGCAAAAGCAACAACATGCAGATTCTAATATGGCGGTGGATGAAATGCCTCTATATAGGTCCTTCTCCTTGAAGAGGTGGGAAAGAGGATGAAAAGGAAGAAAACATTACAAAGAAGGAGAAGAGGGCTGGGCAAAGTAGGGCGGGGAATGGCATGGAGAAAACCAAGTCCCAATTCGACTCGTCTTCCTCAGCTAAAATTAAAGATACCACCCCAAAATCAAAGAGCCTTTCCACTTTCCTTTCTAGGGCTCCGTCCCAACCCACATCCACCATTCCCAGCCCAGCCAAAGAAAAAAGAGACATTTCTCCAGAGGTGAAAAGGTCTGTCAGGCGGGAACTGGAAAGGGACCTTTCCACTCAGACAAAGGCCCTCTTGGATTCGTTATTTAAAGTAGCCGCTATTGATTGGACGTCGGTGAAGGACCCCCGTAATTTCCCTGAGGTCCCAGGTGTAATAACATGGATACGGGATACGGAGGAAAGATTTAAATGTATGGAATCACCTTTACGTATGCTGTCTAGCGACTATCTGTTCAGCATACGTGCACCGGCTGACCAGGTGTTAATTAACTTGACTTGCTAATTAAACGTACCCTGGGTGTGAGGGCAAACCTTGTCCATGTCGATGCTAGTGGTCTGTTGATCGTAGCTGATATTGCCGTAAACAGTAGTTCGTTCGGATCGCTGCGTTTTATGCACCCAATAGCAAGACGTTTTTCCGTCATTTAGGAGCGTTCCTTGTGGATTTTGTCACGCTTAGTCTTAATGGGATACTCGAATGCCATCCTCGATCCCGTCATAGACAAGGGCGTGGAGCTGGCAGGAAATTGGGCGATCGTACATTGGTTGAGTTGATCGCCGTTTGGTCTCGTCGATAGATACCGGGTCGATCACCCTGGGCCAAAGATGTGAACGCGGGCACCTACGTGGCCGTCTACCCCGAGAGCCAGCTATCTGGATAGAATGTTAGTTAGAAGGGCCGATATAGATATGATAGATCCACGTTACACTGGTTAAGCTATTGGGAGCATAGACTTGTCTGTGCCCTGATGGCGTTAGCAAGCGCTACGAGGGTCAGATAGTTAGGCATAAGTTAAATATGACGCCTAAAGAAGCCGGGAATGTAGACTCAGAATTGCGCAAGGAAAAGGTCCGTCGAGGTTCCAATCGATACATTTGGGAGTTAGTCAAGCTGATGACGTATCCATGTCGTGCCGCAGCGATATTGAGGTGATACAGAAGGCTCTTGAACGGTACGAAAAGGTCACGGGGGCCAAGATAAAACGCAAGAAGTCTCCCGACTTGCGGTTATATGCCTGGAAAGGCAGTTTTGTTGGACTGACAAACAGACACGTTCTCATTCTTGGAGTGTCGTCCGAGCACTGGTCCCTGCTGGAGAAGAATTGATCAGAGGTACGAACAAAGGTTGTAGCATCAGCCCGGACTTGGCTCCGAATTCGGTTGTCTTCGAGGGGTAGGGTTGAGGCGTGTGCCACTTACGTCTTTCCTCTCACCCTTTACCGGCTGTCTGTATTTCCTCTCTGTGAGGAGCATAAGAAGGCGAACGAGCGCTTGCTGTCTCTCCTCGTGTCGGGTGGACGTAAGCATTATGCCAACATAACATGTCTGTGCCCAACATCTGTGTCATGGAGGGTTGGGAACGCCACACTTGTTGAATCACCGACGAAAGTGGATACTTATTAATATATATATATAAATTATTGCTTCGTCGCTCCACATTCAACACTACTTCACAAACAGAAGCACTCAATATGCGACGCTACACACACACACACACACACACACACACACACATATATATATATATATATATATATATATGAACATAAACATAGCATCGCACAAGGACTGCTGGTGTTAATAAAACAGCACTCAGTGCATTACAACAATGGTGCAAACATATGTCAATAAATATGCATATTCCTCCTCACCAGTAACACGACACAGAGTGTCATGCACAAAGCAAGCTTCAGATAATCGGCGGAGCATCAGTTCTTGCGTCAAATTCCTTATCCGGGAGTAGTGAATGGAATTTTACAACACCAATGTATTGAGTAAAATACGTCATCCTTGGTCAATCAATGTTGTTACTTCTCCTTCGTCACTGCACTGCTGTTAAATGCTGATTCTCCTCTGCTTATATCGGTAGAGATAAGCTCAACCTGGATACAATTTTAGAAACTTTATCTTCCGTTTGATTAGCCAACATTGAATACTTAATTCTGATTTACTGGTTTTAGTATTTTGCTGAAACTACATTCACACATTTTTTACATTACGGCATCAACATGTTAAGTTAACTAATGCTTTAATCCTGGCTACATCCATCCGTGTATGGGAAAATGTCTTTTAGGCTTTTGGAGGTATGACAAATGAAGCTGGTAGGTCTTAGTGAGGACTATCCTTATTCAAACCTCATGGACTGGTGCCGCAGAAAAAAAAAATTGTAGCTGATAACAGAAAGTACATCATTTGAGGAGATTCAACAACTAAAATGGATAACACGTGTAAGCTAAAGAGAAAATGATAGCATGATCAACATGCTAATGCTCCAAACTGCCTCAAAGAAAAGTTTAGGAAGGACCCCCCACTTCAATACTAGAAAGAGAGATGACAACTACTGAATTTATGTATCTTATATTTCAACTGAAATCAGCATTAGCTGTTCAATCAATGGAAGCCAAATATTTGCTTATATGGAAATGCATATATAAGAATATAATATTTGTTTATTTCAGCAGATTTTGGAAAGTGGGTTGGGCTCCAGCCATTGTATATATAAAGAATATTCATTTGAACAATGTTATTACTTATCTTAGTAAATGATAGTGGTATTTTAAAGTAAACCTTTATTATGGAAAACTAAGAAATTTGTTCCTAATTGAAAATGTCAATAATACCATTTTTTTTACCTCATGTAAATATACAAATAATATTGAATTTCAAACTGCGATGTTGCAGGTTAGAATTTATGTGGGGAAAATTGAAGACTAGAAAATATTAAGAATCTTGCTGCCGCATATGGGACAGTGAACTTGCTATTCACCTTGAGCGTTTTGAAAAAATCCAAAAAAGAATCAGCAATATTATTGGTCCTGATCTAGCAACTCGGCTTCAGTTACTTACTCACCGTTGTGTTAAATTTAAAATTTATAATTTTGCACAGATTGTTTAAATTAGTGTTTCTTAACTTTTTTTCTTTCTTGACTTTGGGACCACTTTTAAAATAAATAGAACTCTGGAGTATACTTTAAATTTTAATAAGGAAAAAATTAGTCATGAAATTAGAAAAAAAAGAAATTTTGTTTTGATATTCTCAAGGAAGATTAGCGGTCTTGTTTTCATTTACAGGGATTTATTACATGAAGAATCTGATATTTCTTTTACAGAGAGGCTGATAATGACTGGTTGAAATCCATTGGGGAAGACAAAAGGGAAAGGATTATTCACTTCTTATTAAAGTTTAAGGAAGTTAGTATCAAGTTTAAAATATCAAATGACTTACACATGAAAGCCATGTAAAACTTTTCAAGAAAAAAAAAGAGATAAATAAATCTTTAAAAAAGTAAAAAGCAAAAACCGTAAGAAATCTTTAACTCAATATGGAATTCAAAGTTGTCTCCCTTTACCTATAAACGTTCAAGTGACATTCATTGTTTGCCTTGTTGACAAAATCATCGCTTCCTAATTACTTGTCTTATATAAATATCAGTGATACGAATTCAGTTTTCTTTAAATATGGTAATTCTTAAAATTTTGATCTGCCACTTTGTCTTTCGCTTTCTAATTCTTTGTATATAATTGTATCTCTCGATATGATTTAAATTCTTTTTTTACCAATTGAATTTGCAATCATGTCAAGTTGTTTCTCTTTGTTTCTGTCAATTTTATACACTTTCTTATGGAAAAAAGAAAATAAGTCTGTTATGATTTCATTTGCAAGGCTAATAACAGATCTACACCTATAGAAGTAGGTACCTCCACTTTTTTGCAGAAAAAAAAAGCAGCAAAGCATGATGAATAAAGGCCTCAAACTTAATAAAAACAAAGTTTTATCGTCAAAATGTTTATGTTGTTATTAAGAGGAAAGACCTAAGCATTTTCTTACATTAGCCGTTAAAATTTACGATTAGTGTTTTAGTGCTTTTTTCAGGGGAAAAACTTAGTGATTTCGAAATTCATGCAAAAAATCAAATAATTATCGGATTTTAATGAAACTTTCAGGATTTATTTACAAATGAATGAAATTATTTTTTAATTTTCTTTAGAAAATCTTGGTGAGTATATGGTCCGGTGCCTCTGCTATTTGACTGGAGCGTCTTGATAAGATCCAAAGAAGAATTAGCAATATTATTGGTCCTGATCTGGGGGATCGGCTTTAGTCACCTGTGCACCGCCTTAAGGATGCATCTCTGTGCTTTTTTTATTATAAATACTTTCATGGTAATTGTTCAGATGAGCTCTTCTTTATAGATTATTGAATAATTTCTGAAAATTTCTTTAAAATCCAACAAGTATTTGATATTTGCAAGAATTTTCAAAGTAATGT